AAGTGATAACATTTGTAGGCAGTAATCAGAGACTTGACAGCTTTCCTCACCATTAACATTCTTCCTTCTAGGAGGCGAGAGATGTAAATTGAATAGAACACTTCAGAAAATGATTATTAGCTGATGTTAACACAGATACCAAGTTGAAGTTGGATTACTTCTTAAAGAAGACAAAGTGATCTTTCAGAGTTGTTGTATCTTAATGACTCTGTTTTATCGATGACAGTCATAATGAAGTGGGGGGTGAAGTAGAATCATACAAAATCTCTTTTGCACAGAGAAAGTGAGAGTTACCACGTATGAGTTTCTTCAACTTCTTGCTATGTACCTAAAATTTACCAGCATCTATCCCATTCCTTTCTTCCCTCATTAGCTGTGAAAGAATAGGTACCTCTCCTTCTGTCTAAAACCAAACTCTCTCATCTCCTTTAGGAAACTTGTGCAACTGTCAGAACTTCTTCTTTCTCTTCTGCTCTTAATACTAGACTTTTGAAACCCTTGAAAGTTGTTGTTTCCACTCCTTCTCCTTTTATTTAGTTAAAAAAAAATGTAATGTTTATCTGTTTTTGAGAGAGAGAGAGAGAGAGAGAGAGAGAGAGAGAGAGAGAGAGAGAATATAATGAGCAGGGGCAGGCAGAGAAAGAGGGAGACACAGGATCCAAAGCAGGCTCCAGGCTTTGAGCTGTCAGCACAGAGCTGGACTCGGGGCTCGAACTCAGGAACCAGGAGGTCATGACCTGAGTCAGATGCTTAACTGACTGAGACACACAGGCACCCCTTACTTTACTTTTTTAAAGCTTACTTTTACTTTTATGTCCAGCTCTAAATGCCTCTCTCAACCAGGGTTACATTAGAAAATTAAGCCCTACAGAATAGGATTTGAGGGACTTTTTTTCTTTTTCCCAATTTCCCATTAATAGTGGAGCGATAGTCCCTTCGTGAAGCATAGTAGAGAAGATAATTACTAACACACGATGGATGCTTTAGGGCACTAAGGTTTAAATATTTATTCTAGTAGGGGTGGCTGGGTGGCTCAGTAGGTTAAACATCTGGCTCGGGTCATGATCTTGCAGTCCCTGAGTAAAAGCCCTGCATTGGGCTCTGTGCTGATAGCTCAGAGCCTGGAGCCTGCTTCAGATTCTGCATCTCCTTCTCTGCCCCCTCCCCACTCACACTCTACCTCTGTCTTTCAAAAGTAAATAAACATTAAAACAATTTTTTTTAAATATTCTAGTGGAGTCCTGGTTGAGGATGTCTTCTTCCATGTTTATTTAACCCTACACAGAGTCAGCGATTTTACCCTTTCTAGCTAATTCTTTGGGTATATACCTACATGTCATTGAAAAACAGGCTTGTTACTGCTTGATTTTTCAGTTTTGGGTATTATATATTGTCTTCTCACATTTGAAAATGAAAACTGTGGCATGTATAAAAATGGTCTCCCAAAGATACCATACCCTAAATATTTGAAACCTACAAATATTACCTTATTTGAAAAGGGGTCTGTGCATAAGAGATTAAGTTAAGGATTTTGAGATGTGTGTGGAGGTTATTTTGGATTTTCTGGGTGGGTCCTAAATGCCATCACAAGTGTCCTTATAAAAGGAAGGCAGAGGAGGATTACACACACAGAATCGGAGGTCCTTTGACCATGGAGACACAGATTGCAGTGATGTGCAAACTGACTTCAGACCTTTGCCCTCTAGAACTGTTGGCCTCTCCATACTCACATCCTACTGTTCTCCATACACTTTTATGCCTTTTGAGACTGCTCTGTATGGAGTACATCTATGGGTTACAACCTTAACCTCTTGCTTCATGTTGGGTTTAGCCAATGGGAATCTCATCAGGGGTCAGAGGAGAGTGAGTTTGGTGTACTTATGTCTCTGGCTCCCACCTTGGAATATCATCCTGATTATATTGTTTTGCAATCAAAGAATACAGTTCCTTTCAAGATGGCCCTCTCTACTGGATTCTCCTGGATTCCAGTTACTGCATTCTTACCTTGAAACAAGCTTCAAGGTAGTAACAGGCCAACTGTTATTATTCCTGGGAAGTTGGATGATTCTACCCATATAACTCTTGCCTTTATTAAGCCTTACTTAAATTATCCTAATTTGGGAGTACTACCTGTTTTCTGTTGGGACCATAACTAAGCCATAGCCAGAGATAAATACTTAGATAAATACAGAGTATGCCATTGTTTCCTGCTAGAACAGACTGATACAATAGGCAACAAATATTGAATGAATGAATCAATGAATGAAATTTCCATTATCATTGTACTGTAATGACTTTGTTGCTCTTCTATCATCTCGTCAAGACTGAAAACCAGTAGAAGGCAAAGATTAATTACAGTCCTAGAGCTTAGTATAATATTTAGCGCATAATATACCCTTGACAAAAAGTTACTGAATACTGAAAGAATTTGATTTAGAATCTGAATCTGATTCCCCTATTTACTAGCCATTTGACCATGGCTTAGTCCTTAGGTTCTCTAAGACATAGTTTTAAAAAGTATTAATATCTACTTTACATGGTATTTATATTTATCCCTTTGTTGATTGTTATAAAGATCAAATTAAATAACATGTGTAAACGGTTATTGCAAATTATAGAGTTGCTTTTTACATGCAAGAATTCACTTCAAAGAGCATGATATATACACACTACTGATGTTTTAAAGGCAATAGCTGTTGAGCAATGAATACCTTAAATTTCTTCTTTGTATGTTGTTTAATAGCACTTTTTTTTTTTTTTTTTTTTTTTTTTTTTTTTGGTCAGAAGATAAAGTAATCTGGACCATTTTCTTTTCTTTTCATAAAGGCAAGAACTTAGTTCTAACCTGAGAGTGTAAGGCTACTCTAGTGCCTATGGCTTGATTTTTTTTATCAGGGAATAAATGTATAAAGCTGTGACTCTATTAATGAAGGTATACTTTATTTCCTTTATCCCAACACTCCAAGAATCTAAGACAAATGTGGACATATATAGGTAGGAACCTATATAAAAATCTATACAATACTAGATTGTTGAATATCAGTGTTATTTGGGGGAATCATCAATCATTGTGTTGTCCTATCCAAGCAGTGAATACAGCCTCAAATATCTTTAATAGAATTTAGCTATATTATTCTGATATTTTTGATTTACTTATCTCAATGTTGATTATTCATCCTGCATTTAACAGACTGAGGCTAGCCTTCCTTCATGAGCCTTTGCTACACTGCTGGTTTACCTTGAAAGGTAGGCATGTGACAGGGCAGTAATCTTCACTAAGTACAAGAAGAAACTAAATATAAAGATAGTGACTGAATTTCAGCCATAATAACAATAGCAGTAATAATTAATGCTAGCACTTATGGAGAACTTATTTTATGCCAGTACCATACCAAGCACTTTATAGGCAATAACTCATTTCATGTTCGCAACAAAGAATAAAGTATATACAACTATTATGCCTTCATTTTATAGAGGAGGAAACTGAGGCACAGGGAGGTTGTGATATGCTTGTTGAGCTCTTAAAGGGTAAAGCCAGAATTTGAAGTTGGGGTGTCTGGCTATAGAGCTCTAGATTTCCTATGCTATGTTGCCACAAAAAATGAGAAATGGGGGGCACCTGGGTGGCTCAGTTGGTCAAATGTCCGACTTCAGCTCAGATCATAATCTCATGGTTCATGAGTTTGAGTCTCGCGTTGGGCTTTGTGCTTGCAGCTCAGAGCCTGGATTCTGTTTCGGATTCTGTGTCTCCCTCTCTGCCCCTCCCTCTCTTGTGCTCTGTCTCTCTATCTCTCTCAAAAATCAATTTAAAAAAAAAAAAAAAGAGAGAGAGAGAGAGAGAAATTGAAGGCCTAGGACCAAAACATTTTTTGGGTAATAGGCCTTAACTACATGCCATGTCCAAATCCATCTACTAACTGGGGATACAAAATATCTAAATTTTATGGTCCTTATATTTGGGAAATTTTCCAGATTAGTAATAAATATACAAAATATCTTTATTTGGTGGATGAACTGAAAAAGATAGAACCAGTTTATGAAGGGCTTTGGTTGTCCAGCTGAGCAATCTGTTGTGACTTGGTTGGTTCTAGTTACCTTAAAAATAATGTTTATGTTTTTATTTCTTCTTTATTCCTTCCATCCTTCCTTCTGTCCATTTCTCCTTCCATCTATCTGTCCTTCCTTCCTTCTCCCCCCACTCACCTATATAGCATTTGTGTGTATTTCTATGTAAGTTCAGTTGTATGTTTTAAAATTTATTTAAGTATAGGGAAACCACTCTAATTTATATTTAATGTGAAAAATCCTCAGCTAAAAAATGATTTACAAATAATTACAGTTTTTTACCTCTTTTAAGGAAGCTACCATAGCTAGGTCTGAGAGAAACGTTGGCTTAGATGTCCTTTGCTGACTTGCTTTTAGTAAATAGATCAAAATTATTTCTGAATGACATAACAACAAGCTGTGTGTAAATGAGTATTTTTAAATGCTTAAAGGTACTTGAAAATAGTGGCCTGAAACAGCTAAAATAGTTTTCATGAAATTTTGTGGAAAATTCATTTATTTGATAAAGATTCTCTTCGGAGGTAGTACAAAAATGACCCTGTCTTCCTTCTGAATAGTCACAAATTCAGCTTTAGTAGTGTGTGAATTAAAGAGGTATAATTGCTTTTCCAATGCTCTTCAGTCCAATTGGAAAAATTAAGAAGACTAAGGATAGTGTTGTCTGATTCTTTTTTTTTCTTCTTTTTTTTTAAGTTTATTTATTTTGAGACAGAGAGTGTGCGTGCACAAGTAAGGAAGGGACAGAGAGAGAAAAGGACAGAGAGAATCCCAAGCAGGCTCCATGCTATCAGCACAGAGCCTGACGCTGGGTTCGATCCCATGAAGTGTGAGATCATGACCTGAGCGGAAACCAAGAGTCGGATGCTTAACCAACTGAGCCACCCAGGTGCCTCTTAAACACATCACAATATCTGATATGAAAAGTGGGCACTTACTTCGTGTTGCTGATTGATGGGAATGGAAGGACAGATGTGCTCCAGGAGTGCATTTACCAATGTCAGTGGTCCCTTTCAGGTGATGGAGTCACAGCAAATGGAAGCCATTTTTTACAAAAGAAGAGAAAGAGAAACAAAAATTTGGTTCGTAAGTCATTTTTTTTCTGGTTGTTTTAGAATTTCCATTTTTAGATGAATTTCTCACTTGTGTGAATTTATGAAAGGCAAATTACGACTTCCAGTGTTTTTCTCTCAAGCTACCCACTCGGTTTTCCATTCTACCTTCCCCAAATGATTCCATTCTGTTAGAAATGTTACATGAAACTCTGTTTACACGAGGAGTGAACTGAAAGGAATGGATTGGGATTTGGGGTTTGGACCACAACTATCTTTTATATTGCCTCCTGCATATACTCATAGCAAGATAATGTTCAGCAGGTTTTTGCTTGGAGTAAAAACATACTAGATGACATCGCCTAATGAAACTCTACTATTTGCACAGGTATTTAGTACTGAGACTTGATGAAATCCTCAAGATAAAGATCAAGATGAAGACATGTACCTTCTCAAATACGCATAGTGTAAAATTAACTTATGAAATTCATTCAGTCAATTTTATCACCTGCTTGCTACGTGCCAAGTACTGTTCCAGACGGTTAGCAATATAACACTGAATAGGATAAAAATCTCTAGCCTTGTGGAGTTTGCTTTAAGTGGAAATGGAGGAAAATATATAGTACTCAAATAAATAAGTAAAAAATATAGTATATCATATGGAGATAGGTACCACAGAAATAAGGAAGGAAGGGAAATAAGGAATGAAAGAATGTGAGGGCTGTCGATTTTAAGGAGGTGCTTTGTGAGTAAATACTAAAGTATTAAAGGGGGTGTATTCTGTGTATATTAGGGCGAAAAACATTGCTGCAAAGGGAACAGCAAATGCAAAGAGTGTGGGCAGTGGTGTGCCTGGCATGGGATACCAGCTAGGGACAGCAGGGATACCCGTGGAAAATGAGAGGCAGAGTTACAGGACATAAAGTCCGAAGGCAGTAGAGAATTAGATCATCTAGGGATCTTGTAGGCCATTGCCAAGACTTTGACTTCTATTTGTGTTGGTTTCCACCCTGAGAATAAGCTGTAGAGGAACAAGGTGGAAGCAGGAAGACTAGTTAAGACGCTACTGAACTGATCCAGGTGAGAGGTAATGATGGTTTGGGAACAATGGTGGAGATGGAGAGACACAATCAGACTCTGAATATATTTTGAGGGTAAAGCTACCAGGATTTGCTAATGAATTGGATATAGTTTATGAGAGAAAGAGAGAAATTAAACATGAATCCAAATTTTGGGCCTGAGTAGTCAAAAGTTTGGAGTTGTTATTAACTGAGGAGAGAAAAACTCTAAGGGGTACTGGATTGCAGAGAGAAGATCAGACATCTGGGTTGGGACATCTAAGCAAATTTGTTGAGTAGCAGCCACAAAGCCTGGAATGAGGGGAGAGATCTGGCTAGGGGATACATTTGGAAGCACTCCATACATAGATGATATTTAAAGAGATTTGCTCATGAGATCAAATTTCCAATTCCAAGGTTGTTGTCTTTTTAGACAGTGATGGTGCAAACAGAATGATTTTAGGTGTTTTGACATGCCTAAAGTTTGTCTGATGGTAATACCGAGCACAAGTCTTTTTCTACTTTTGCTCTGAACTTCACCATCATGTTCACTGTAAAGGCATCTGTTGCCAGATGGGGCTGGCCCCTAAGTGATCAGTCTAGGCCTTAAAGGCTCAAGGCTGCTCAGAGACAGTACTCACACTTTGTTGTAGTTGAAAATAAAATAAAACACAGCAGGAAACATCCAATTCCACAATGTCTTTGTGAATAATGAAAAATTTATTGCAGATTTTGTGGTTTGATAGAGAAGAAGGTTCACACAGGCATACCACATAGCTAAAATGTAATAAAAATCCCCCCACTTCTTTGCAACCCTTCTCCCCTCCTCTCTCCCCCCACCACCCCCCTGCCCCAGCAAAGTTAATCTTAGTCTACCAGCTATCGTGCCTTCATTCTCCTCCTTCACCCCTTCCACTATCTCTCAGAACTCTCCTTACTACCCAAACACACTTTTTCAGTGTGTTTACCCTCCATCCTCTGCAAAACAAAACCTCTCCCTGCATGTAATCAAGTCTACTCTTCTCACAAAGCAGTTTAGCAACCTTCTACTGAAACTCATGTTCTATTTCAACATTTTTCAGTCTTCTCTACTATGGTGGATACTATACTGTGCTGTCCAAATCCCCCGTTCAGAACTGAAGGCCTTTTTTCCTCAGCTGATGGAAAGAGTTATCCTTTGTTGAAGAGAGCATCCTTGCCCAAATGCATGCTTTTGAACTAAGGACAAAAACGGCTCAGCCACCTCACCCTGGCTCAAGATGACTAGAAAGGGCCATTCCAGCTTCAGAGCTCGTTGTGGCTCATTCAAGGCTGTGTGTGGTTGCACTACATACAGCCCAGCTTCTCCCTCTTGACTTCTTTCCCCACAAAAGGTTGGTCCCAAGAGTTCTGCTTAGTAAGCTCTCTGCACACTATCCTCTTTCTCAGAGTCTGCTTTCTGGGGAAACCAGCTGCAATACTCCCTACTGTCACCGCCTTCCAGAATATTTGAGATTGAGTTTTTCTCACAGTTGTTCTGAGCGCCTGCCCTCAGCTGCTTTTTCTCGCCATGTGTTCCTGTTGATCACCGCAAACTTTGTGGCTTGCTCTTTCCCTGGAACTGTGATGCTGTTCTGTTCCAACAGGTGCCCTTCTAGAGGACTTTCTGTGCAACAGGCAGCATTTCCTTCACTGTCCTATGTGTCTATTCCCTACAAATCATGCACACCAGGCTACAAGGATATATCAGAATTACTAAAGCATTGCAGGCAACTGAAAGCTGTCACAACTAAGTATGACTGACATAGTGCGAAGAGAGTAGCACTCAAACCTGCTATTGGGGGTCCCTCATGGACGCACCCTAGGTATTTATTATGTTCTTTATTTTGAAATCCTTGTCTCACTCCCCATCTCCCTACACCCCCCACTCCCCCATCCCTCACGCAATGCAATAAGCACATCCTTTTTCAAACATCCACAGTTTCTTCCTTCTGTTTTAGAGAAATCTTACACTCAACCTACAGGAGTGCTAGTATCATTTTCCTCAGTCCATTCCAGGGAGTGTTAATCCAATTGCTAAAGTCTGGGCATCAACTGGACAGTGGGCACTGGCAGTTGAGGTGTCTACTGTGAAGTCTACTTATCAATGTAATGTGACAGATATGTCTCCTCAGTTTCCCCAGGCATCCAGTGGTTCACAATTAAATTATCTCCTAAGGGCAAACTCTTTCTGAAAACTTTTCAGAGCCAGTATTACTAACTCTGTATTTCCAATACTGTATCTACTAGCCAGTTCCATGATTAGGGGTATGTGTTATTTCTAATTCTTGAGTCATGATTTGACTTATTTTTCTTTTAAGGTTTCTCTTAGCTTCTTAACCATTTGTAATTCATCCATCTTGTTTTGCAACCTCTCCAATTGTGCTGTTGTTGTCTTCCTTCTTATTCTTTCTGTTTTTATGGATTTATTCTTCAAAACAATCATTATTGTCATTTTAATGGGGTTTTAGGAGAACCCAAGACAAATGCCTGTTCAGTCCACTGTGTTTAACTCAAAATTCCAAACAGAGTGTTCTAAAACAGTTAAACGTTTTCTTCACAGGCCCTAAGTTTAAATAAAACTGTAGAAAGTCATGATTTGAAATACAGGAATTAGTCACCAAAAGAATTTGTTGTAGCATAAATATTTGGCTACCATTGAGGTTAAGTCATATTGAAATAGGAGGAAAGAGGATTTCTTAATAATTCCAAATGAAATATATTAAAATAACATTTCAATATAAGGATTTGTGAATATGTCCTATTAGTTCTTCTGAAATTCCCCAGTCCTTTCTGGGGAAATCTTCATCTTTTCAAAATTTCTAAGTGAGAAAAGCAAGGAGGTAGAAATATTTTCCCCAGTAAGCTTTTTCTTAACATTAATTTGTCTTTTGTGTCCTATTTTCTTTGTCAGACTACAAAGTAACATATTTTAAAAATCATGGATCCATTTCATATTTAAAGATGATAAAATATGCCTTTCTTACTAGTAAGCCAAAGAGTTAGGAAAAATAGCACTTTGTTCTTTAGTGTTAAATGGACAAATTTGAGTAATGCACAAGGCAGTAGGGAGAAATGATACATATTTAAGAAATACTGTAGTCTCCCTTATCTGCAGAGGATACATTCTAAGATCCTCAGTGGATGCCTGAAGCCATGGATAGTACTGAGCTCTATCGATACTATTTTTTTTTCCCATACGTACATACCTATGATAAAGTTTAATTTGTACGTTAGGCATGATAAGAGATTAACAATACTAACTACTAATAAAATAGAACACTTCTAACACTATACTGTAATAAAAGCTATGTGAATACGACCTCATCCTTCTCCTTGTGAGGGTGTGAGATAAAATGCCTACGTGATGAGATGAAATGAAGCGACTGATGATGTAGGCATAATGACAGTGGTGATACGTCAGAAGGAGGGTCATCTGTTTCTGAACCCGAGGCTGACTGCAGGTAACAGAAACCATGGAAAGCTGAACCACAGATAAGGGGAGGACTACTGTATATTACAAATCTAAAAAGCTTTTTTAAAGCACTGAAGCATGCAACTGCTTTGAGATGAGTAATACCATGTAAAATATAGTTGCTGAGTTCTATTTTTCCAGGGTTTTCAAACAATACTAGGAAAGTTTTGTTAAAGAAAAAAAAGATCAAAGTATCTTTTTGAAGAGAAAAAAGAGGTTATTGATGGGTTAGGGGATATTACAGTACTCTGGATTCATTGAGAAAGTCCATTTCTTTAATGTATAAAGATAAAAGCATCCAGAAGGGGTATAATGCTGACATTATCTTTAGAAAATACAAATAGGGGCACCTTGTTGGATCTGTTGGTTGAGCATCCAACTCTTGGTTTTGGCTTAGGTCATGATCTCACTGTGCTGGGCTCTGTGCTGACAGTGTGGAGCCTGCTTGGGATTCTCGCTCTCTCTCTCTCTCTCTCTCTTTCTCTCTCAATAAATAAACATTAAAAAACACATAAAAATACAAATAATATCAAGCCTGGAAGAATAATAAGGAAATATGTGGTTTTAAATCAACAGAAATAGTTTAAACTTTTCGTTACTGCATTAGGGGACTAATACATATTCATTGAGTCAGCTGTATTTTGCTGATGATTTTGCAATCTTTAAAGATGATTTTTATTGATTTGACTTTTTTTCCCCAACAAACTTCCTTGTTTCCATTGTTTGGTAGTTTTAATATGAACCATCACACTAATGAAATAACCGAATGGAAGATGAACCACAGTTTTCTCTTTTCTTTACGTACAGTGGTTAGCCTCAAATCTGAAGCTTTTTATTCTTCCAGTTCTCTTAACACCTCATT